ATACGTATCGTAAAACCATGAAAGAGGTAGAGGAGGTGGTCGAGAAGGTATCCGTCAGATATTCAAGGTCATTTCTTCGAGAACAAGACCCGGAAATCCATTGATCATTTTTTTTTTTTTTTCTTTCTCTCTTATGATTTATCCAATCAACGTTTCATTTTATTTCATATTATTTTAAGGTAAAACACAAAGTGTTTTTTGTTTTTTTTTTTCTTTTTGTATTGAAATTGCACGCGATGAATTATTGTTTTTGTATAAAAATTTACATTGAAAAAATTGACAATGCAATTTATTTTTATTTATAAGAGAATATATATATATTTTATTTTAGTTATCGTTTGTATATTTTATCTTCGATAAGACGAAGAACAATTTGTTTTAAAATCGTTTCCACGAATAATAATGATAATTAGATTTTTTCTTTCTCTTTGTTTTTTATCATCGCAATTATTATTATACCTATTACGGAAAATTTTTTTTCTGATTAAATAAATGAATTGATAATTTTGTATCGAGAATAAAAAGATTTGACATATATCATTAAAAACAAATTTAATGTCAATTGTTTTGCTGTTGTTGTCCTTCACATTTTATGATCTCGTAAAAATCGATGATTTCCTCTCTCTCTCTCCCCGCCTCCCATCGATCGATCGATACTTATAATTTATCTTTTTTTTTTTTTTTTTTTTACAAACAATTTTTATTTGCACGTAGCAATAAACGTATATAAATAAAAAAAAAATAAAATACACATTCCAACGAATACACTGGATAAGAATAATCATGTTTGTCTCATGGTAATTTGCAATCCGAACAATTGGATAATTAATGGCTTTTTTTTTTTTTTTTATTTTTTAACGATTCGAAGTATCAACTAAACATCGTACATATATATATTTAGATTTCTTAATAAAAATTATTCAAAGATTATAAAAGACGTGTCAATTACCGCTACTGTGACACGTATTTCCGTTAAGCCAATGCTAACTCACTAACATAATACATACGTTGTATCTAAACGAAGAAGGAAAGAAAAAAAAAAAATAAAAATAATAAAGATACTAAAATACAGGTGCAAAAAAAAAAAATATACATATATATATATATATATATAAAAAACTAATGAATAATAAATATATAGTTTTGCATTAGCACAAAGTTTTTAAAGTAACAACACCAATCATTAATTATTAAGTATTACTTGCTAAAAAAAAATAAAAAAAATACTATACAAAGTAACATTACATTTTAACTAGAGTCATATGTAAATAGAAATTTTATTATGGAAAAAAAAAAAAGAAAAATGATGAAAGATCATTCCGTATGACGTTATTGAATTGTAAACAATTATCGTGTCTAGTGTGTCTTCATACTTATTTAGTTAGTATATAAACGAGTTGAGAGTGATTTCGATGACAGGACAGGCAGGAAACGTAATGCATCAAAAGAAAACGTGCTATGAATATGCAACGTAAAAACGTTTAAAAACAAAATAAAAAAAAATAAAAGGGGGTTGATTATAAGGAAAATAATTATACGTGGTTATAAATATATTTTCAATTACGCACACACACGTAATATATAATAATATAATAATGGTATATATTATTTATTTAATGTGTACTTAAAAATTTTTATAGATGTGTTGTGTTGATTAATTGGTTTTTTGTTTTTTTTTTGGTTTTGTTTTTTTTGAGACACACGAACGACAAATATATTTTCAATTACGCACACACACACATAATATAATAGTATAATAATGGTATATATTATTTATTTAATGTGTACTTAAAAATTTTTATTGATGTGTCGTGTTGATTAATTGGTTTTTTTGGTTTTGTTTTATTTTACACACACGAACGACAAATATATTTTCAATTACGCGCACACACACATAATATAATAATATAATAATGGTATATATTATTTATTTAATGTGTATTTTAAAATTTTTATAGATGTGTCGTGTTGATTAATTGGTTTTTATTTTTTGGTTTTGTTTTTTTTTACACACACGAACGACAAATATATTTTTAATTACGCACACACACACACACACACACATAATATAATAGTATATATTATTTATTTAATGTGTACTTAAAAATTTTTATAGATGTGTCGGGTTGATTAATTGGTTTTTATTTTTTGGTTTTGTTTTTTTTTTAGACACACGAACGACAAATATATTTTCAATTACGCACACACACACATGATATAATAGTATAATAATGGTATATATTATTTATTTAATGTGTATTTTAAAATTTGTATAGATGTGTCGTGTTGATTAATTGGTTTTTATTTTTTTGGTTTTGTTTTTTTTTTTAGACACACGAACGACAAATTGGCTATTGATGAAGTCACCATTTCCCACGTTATTCATATGTCTCGCATACATATACATCGTGAAAGTTTTGGGACCAAAACTGATGGAAAATCGAAAGCCATTTCAATTGACGAACGTTCTAATATTTTATAATTTATTCCAAGTGATCTTCTCGACGTGGTTATTCCACGAGGTAAGCTGTTTTTCTATATATATATATTTTTTTTTTTTTCTTCTTTTTTTTGAAGGGTTTCGTTTTTTTACTTCATTTTATCCCCTTCACCATTTTATCCCCATATTTCTTTTCTTTTTTCTTTTTCTTTTTCTTTTTCTTCATTCTCGAGAGAATATTTGCACGTATGCATCGAGAATTTTTTGTTTTTTTGTTTTTGTTAAATCGATCGATGTCATCCGTTCATCCATTTGTTTAAAAAAAATTTGTAAAACTGGTGGCAAGAAGAAGAAGAAGAAGAAGAAAAAAAACAAAAAGGAAAGTCCCTTTTCTGTCTTCCCCTCCCCTCCCTTGAGACCGAGTGTCGTGTGTTCATCGTTGCGATGGTTTAATTATCATCGATCTGATTGAAATCCGAAAAANTTTTTTGGTTTTGTTTTTTTTTTAGACACACGAACGACAAATATATTTTCAATTACGCACACACACACATGATATAATAGTATAATAATGGTATATATTATTTATTTAATGTGTATTTTAAAATTTGTATAGATGTGTCGTGTTGATTAATTGGTTTTTATTTTTTTGGTTTTGTTTTTTTTTTTAGACACACGAACGACAAATTGGCTATTGATGAAGTCACCATTTCCCACGTTATTCATATGTCTCGCATACATATACATCGTGAAAGTTTTGGGACCAAAACTGATGGAAAATCGAAAGCCATTTCAATTGACGAACGTTCTAATATTTTATAATTTATTCCAAGTGATCTTCTCGACGTGGTTATTCCACGAGGTAAGCTGTTTTTCTATATATATATATTTTTTTTTTTTTCTTCTTTTTTTTGAAGGGTTTCGTTTTTTTACTTCATTTTATCCCCTTCACCATTTTATCCCCATATTTCTTTTCTTTTTTCTTTTTCTTTTTCTTTTTCTTCATTCTCGAGAGAATATTTGCACGTATGCATCGAGAATTTTTTGTTTTTTTGTTTTTGTTAAATCGATCGATGTCATCCGTTCATCCATTTGTTTAAAAAAAATTTGTAAAACTGGTGGCAAGAAGAAGAAGAAGAAGAAGAAAAAAAACAAAAAGGAAAGTCCCTTTTCTGTCTTCCCCTCCCCTCCCTTGAGACCGAGTGTCGTGTGTTCATCGTTGCGATGGTTTAATTATCATCGATCTGATTGAAATCCGAAAAAAAAAAAAAAAAACCACACACGTGCACGCACATATTGACAGAAATCAATCTCTACCAGCCGAGTGTGTACGTTCTATCGTAAGAATTAACCTTAATCACTTCTCAGAAGAATTTAACGGAGTTATTAATTATTGTTAATTGATTGCAGACGAATTTTTTTTTTCTATTTTTTTATTTTTTTTATTTTTTCATTGATCATTAAGTGTGAAATATCTGATTGGTAGGAGGAATAACAAGACATTTTATATTTAATGATTTAATACTTAGTTTGACTTTTTATTATATTATATATAGGGTGTCTCAGATAATTCTAGATACGATTGTTTAAGTACTTGCGATGTGACCTGAACAAAAAAATAATTTTAATGAGAGTTCATCTGTTTTTAATTGACTATACATTGCATTTTTTACGAGTTAACATTAAATTACGATTTGCTACTGTGAATATACTTTAATTATTTTTTATATTTAGAGAGAGCGAATAGATTTTAATGAATCTTATATTAAATTAAAGTACACTCTTTTTTCTATGTGTAGAATAATTATTCGAGTTTAAATACGTGTTCAAATGTTCATATAATGTCGGAGAATGCAATGCTGTAAATTGTGCATCTATGCAATTTCTATGAAAAGTTTGGGTAAATATGTTTTATACTTAAAGTGAATAATTTTTAATAAATCATATATTAAATTAAAGTGAACTCTTTTATCTACACGTAGAGTACAAATTTGAGT